ATGTTGAGACAAAGGGCTGCACAAGCAAGTGCTGTTTCTGGAACGACAGCGCATGCCAAAAAACCTGACTCGGCACTACTCTCCCATGCTCAGAAGAAAAAGCAAGGGCTATATAATAATGGCATGCACTAAATAATGCTTTTTCTTGAAGACTTCTTTGAATAAGAAATAATTTATCAAAACAAATGACACCCACTGCGTCACACAAAGTAAAAATATTATAAATTTGTATGATGTAACAAACTATAAATATTTTCATTGTCCACAAAAAAGACAATAAAAGCATGTGTTGGTTAAAAGAGTTACTTCATTTCTGATGTATATTCGAAGGTTCAGATTTGTTTAAAGTCAACAAAGAGTAATGCACATTGCTAGATTCAGATGAGACGAGGTTCGGGTGCTAGAAGTGATCATTTCTGTTTGATCTTGTCTATAAAGTATGACCTCTAAACTTTGTTAGTTAGCTCCAGCTGTGATTTGTCTGCAATATTGCATTCGCATATGCTTGATACAAAAATGACCTTGAGTTTCCTAAAGTAATTGCAAAAGGAATGTCAAGGGTCTATAGCCAAATCAGCCACAGTCTAAAATCTGCATGAAATAATCAGAAGTCGAGTGAAGGTATCCTTTAATCAGAAGTATTCTTTTAAATATCTATTTGTTTTGATATATTACACAGAAGACACCTAATTTAAAAAAGCCATTGTAGTTTTAGTGAATGTTGGGCTTCCTGTGCTCTTCTGGCTTGATACTGCAGTCTGTCTTCGCTTTGTTTTTTTTGTTTAACTTTCCTATGATTTCAAGCTCAGCCCATCGGTTTTTCTCAAACGTTTCTTTTCGGTTAGCTTGCCCCTAAGCCGCGGTCTCCCACAGAGTATATCAGTGTTTTTTCATAAATCTGGAATAAAAAAGCTATACTAAAGATTAGTTTACAATAATATTGTAAGGATTAAGTGAACAAAAGATCGTGATCCGTGTTGTGAAGACAAGTCCATTGATTTCTAAACTATTAAGGAAAAAAACATGCTTTGCATTTCCCGTCAATTCTATTGTTGACCAATATCCATGAGTGTCATAAGTGGCTTTATACGTACTTCCATTACACGTAATTTCAACTATTTCAGCATGGAGTTTGTRTTGGTGGTGACGTTTCGATGTAAAAAAGTGATTAATTTTTCATTATTGGTTGGAAGAAATCACGTCACGGATACAAATGACGTCACTAGCTTCGTCAAGCAGTCAGTATATGTTGTGCCGTATCGGCAAGGAACTTGCTCTGACTAGTAAAAGTGTGTTCAGAAGAAAAACGAAAAATTGAAAAGAAAAATGAACAAGCAAAAAGCAATACTCAAAGAATGCGAATGTCACTGGTTCATGACGTTCACAGACAAAAATTTAGTCTTAGAATTAGTGGTCAATTTTGTGGTATTCCAATATTTTACTTTTCAAGCGTGGATTAGCAGACAATAGTCTCTTTGTCAATTAGTTTTCCTGTTTGTTTTACTGTCAAGGTGACTGAAACGTAGCGACATCTTTTATTGTTTAGTAGCTATAGATAGCTCTCCTCCGCTCAGAAACAAAACAAACAAGTCTCCTCTCCTCAATAACAAAAATAATAAACAAGCAAAACAACAACAACCTGAACAACAACAACAAACAAGGAAAGAAAGACATAATAAAATATAGAAAAAAAGACTAAGAAAAACCGCAAAGGAGATTCTAATGAATCAGGATTAAAAGAAAAAACAACAAACAAACAAGACTTCTCTCCTCAATAACAAAAACAACAAGCAAGAAAAGAAATACAAAATAAAAAAATAAAATAAAGAGGCAAAAGACTAAGAAAAACCGCAAAGGACATTCTAATGAATCAGGATTAAATACAAACAAACAAACAAGTCTCCTCTTCTCAATAACAAAAACAAACAAAACAACAACTACAAAAGAAAAATAACAGAAGACAAAGAAAGAAAGGAGATTCTCGAAGAAATCATAATTAAAGGTGTGGCACTGGACATGGAGCATTCCTGTTAGTCAAGGACTGCATACGTCGCTAAAATCAAACTAAACACCGTTAAACATGTTAAACGACATGTGACGTCTGGAATAGTGTCATGACCCCTTCCRACAAGATTTTTTGGCGACCGAGAAGAAAAACAAATAAAACCTCCCGATGAGCAAAAATGTTATCRATTACATTCTGTTACAACAAAATCATTTTATTTGTTACTATTATTGATCATAAAACATTTACCTGTAACTAATCTACGAGACGTATAGGAACGTTCCAAAACCTTCGAGAAATTTACATACCTACGTACTTCCCAAACAAATGAATTTTGCGACACATGCAACCGAGTCCCTCCGCGTGCTTGACACGTGAGTAAATCAATTACATGCAATCCTAAAATACAGTTTTGAAAAGCTTGCAGTTTTATAAGGAGTATGAAGAGACACGTCTTTTAAAAGATAACTCTGTCAGTTATTTTAAGGGCTTTATTTAGAATTTTACWTAYAYCTCCATTRTCATTGTTTCCGGTTCTGTGACCGGAAATAAGTGTATATTTCCCGGGAAACACTGCGCGCGCGGCGACCTTGGCTACCACGTCATGACCGAGTGTTTGTTATAAACCTGGAAGATACAACCAGTGTAAGATGGCGCGCCTATTTATCACACTAGGCTAGTTTAACAAGGATTTTATTAAGGAAATTCATCATTTAAAGCCTCAATCTTTTCATCATGGCTAGTAGTAGTACTGGTAGTCGAAATGAGTTTATAGTTGGAGGGAAATACCGCCTTGTTAGAAAGATTGGTAGTGGTTCTTTTGGGGATATTTACCTCGCCGTCAACATGACTAATGGAGACGAAGTAGCAGCCAAACTTGAGTCCCAGAAAGCTCGTCATCCCCAGCTATTATACGAATCTAAGCTCTACAAAATACTCCAAGGGGGTGTTGGTATTCCATCTGTTCGTTGGTTTGGCCAAGAGAGAGATTATAACGTTTTAGTAATGGAACTCCTCGGACCAAGCTTGGAGGATTTGTTTAACTTTTGTTCGCGTCGTTTCACAATGAAGACAGTTTTGATGCTCGCAGACCAAATGATAAGTCGCGTGGAGTACGTCCAYAATAAAAACTTTATTCATCGCGATATCAAGCCGGACAATTTCCTCATGGGAGTGGGCAAAAATTGCAATAAGTTATATTTGATCGACTTCGGACTAGCCAAAAAGTATCGAGATAGTCGATCRAAACAACACATCCCTTACCGAGAAGACAAAAACCTGACTGGAACAGCTCGCTACGCCAGCATTAACGCACATCTGGGAATCGAACAGTCAAGAAGGGATGATATGGAATCTCTAGGGTATGTTCTGATGTATTTCAACAGAACAAGCTTACCATGGCAAGGTCTGAAAGCGGCAACAAAGAAGCAAAAATATGAGAAGATAAGYGAGAAGAAAATGTCAACTCCAGTAGAAGTGCTTTGTAAGGGCTTTCCTGCAGAATTCGCCATGTACCTAAACTACTGCCGTGGCCTTCGATTTGACGAAGCACCCGACTACATGTATCTTCGACAGCTATTCCGAATTTTATTTCGTACTCTGAACTATCAATATGACTATATTTTCGACTGGACTATGTTGAAACAGAAGGCAGCACAAGCGAGTGCGGTTTCTGGAACGACAGCGCATGCCAAAAAACCTGATCACTCGGCACAACTCTCCCATGCATTGATGAAACAAAAAGGAATGTACGATGGCATGTACTAAGTCAATAAGCACACCAAGGCTTCCACTTTTAAAACTAGACTTGTAAAAAAGCTTCTACTTGAAAGATAACAAGAAATTGCCTTTCAGTTTCTAGCAGTCTTCAGGAAAAGACTTAGTACATGGCATCGTGCATTGCAAAGATTGGGACTTAATACGTGATGGAAAAGTGACTTCTTTAACCTCTCGTTTGACCAACGTTTTATTGATATTATCTGAAAGAGAAATTGTAAATAGTTTTTTGTCCACAAAAAATACGACATGCAACCGTGGTTCGACGAAATAACTCCACAGGCAGAATATTTATGTTTTCACATAGAAAAAAAATGTCATCTGTGTTTAGTGTAATATGCACAAGTACCTTGTAACCAAAACCCACCGAAAACGAGTTTTACCTTAAGCTAAGTCCATAAATTAAATCCGAGATTCACGATTTATTTTAATCCCTGTATTCGCTTTCACTCTTAAGTTTCTTGTGTTTGTCATGTAAGTTTTCCTTCCATTCTATTGTAATTRTTGAAATGTTCAGTTTGAAATTATATTTTCATTATGTGACATAGCTTGAAGTTTTTGTTTTCATTTTTATAATTATTAAAATTAATTTAGAAGCAATGCGTTTTTGTTGTCTATGGAAGAATCTAACTATACACTAAAAGTTGCTCTTGTAGAAATGTTTTCAYCTTTTTTTCATTGTAAACATATGTAATCACATCTTTGAGCTTACATGCATGTTGTACTTTCAGCAATTTTAGTTCCTTTATTTGAAAGATATTGAATGTTTCACTTTTCAAACATGACAGTCCATGGCCTGGTTGATTGCTGCCCTTATTGTCAATCAACTTTTAGGATTTACTGGACTTATTGTACAGCCATATTCCTATAATTTAATATTATCCATGGAAGATAAATTCAAGCTCATAGTATTAGACTTTACATCAGTTCAATATATTTTATCAACTAGCATAAASTAAAAAGTTTCTCATTTTTGCAAATGGAAAATCACTCCAACATGGGCTTATAACTTTAAATATCAATTATTTCAGSTAATTATTACTGTTAATATTTAGTAGACCAAAACCTTTTTTGCTCATGCTTCACTTATTAATCTCATTGCACTCATGGGGAGGTAGGACAGGGGGCCTGCCCAAAAAATGGGTGCGAAGAGACAATTCACTAGTATGCTTTAGAGCAGTTATTCCTGAGCTCATGAGAAGATTTAGTGTTTATGATACTAGAGGAGCTTTGAACGTAGTCATTTCCGAACTTCAAAATTTCATAAATTAAGCAGCCCCTGWACTTGATCAAGCCTTCAGTAGTTAACCACCAATCAATCAAAAATATGCTCTGTGGTCCCTGTAAAGAGAACTGAAGGTGAGAGTTATGAATGGTGTGTGTATGTTCYGGGAGAATCTACGTAGCACTCAGTTGATGTAATATATTCATAAAGATATAATACAAAACACATAATACAATAGAACGAGAAACAATGGAACACAATACATTTTATGAATCATAACATCAATTGCGTGCTACATAGGTCCCCCTGCTCTCCTTTAAACTAGCAATTTAGATGAAATTGTACAGTACTTGTGAGAATAGTTCATTCTTGGAGAATGTGTTATAATCTTGAAGAAGTTTGAAAAAGTATTAGCCRAATTGTAGTGCTATAAGCTGTAGTACAGTGTAGATTGAAGGATCGCAAGAAGAGTAATCCGCACAATTTCACAATGATACAATTTAGTACCATTTAGTTAATAAARTTTGTATGGTTGTTCTGGGCTACCTGTGCTTTACTGTGTTTTTTTTACTAACTATTCGTGACATTGTCTGTTTGTCTTTTTCAATCCTGACTGTAATGAGTAAACTTGACACCCCCAAATTGTAAGATGTTTGAGAATAAAATAAGAAAAAAAATCGTGACAAAATAATTCCCGCCATTTTATTTTTTACGCGAGATTATCGTGCGCGGGAAAAGTGCTACGCGTCTGTTTGTTGTTCATTTGATAGTACAGACGTAGTGACCCTTGGTGGCCTTGGTTTAGTGTGCACAAGCAAACGAGGAGCGTCTCTGGGAATTGGATTATTCTCCACACAAAAGTCATCTCACTGGTGCTGAAAACTTGKCCAACTTGGTAAGTTTTGAACACTAAGATGATTTAATTAGATTGGTGCTGGTTTGCGACCTTTATTTGAAGTACTTTCGAAAAAATCTCCAAGGACAATGCTTTAATTCACAAAGACAACTGATTGCAATCTTTGTAAAATCTCGTTAAGCAGGTTTTTGTATTCAATCATTTTAGCTATTGCGTTTTCTAATGATAATAGTTTAATGATTTATAAAAGCCTTTTGGTAGTAAGCTTATATTGCGTTTTTTGTAAACATTAAGCTTAATAGAGCTGGCAGCCCCCTGACTTTTCAGACTTTGACTAATCGGACCATCCATGGACCTTGATTCCAAATGTTTATCAATGAATTACCAAATTGTTTTCAACTTGAATGATAATCCTGGAGCCGTTAATAAGGGTGGGGTGTAATCCAAATCAGGTTAAAAGCCAAAAAACAGAATCATTGATTTTGACTAAAGATATCATAAATTTTGCTCTAGTTAACAAAGGATGTCTGCAGAACAAAAGGAAGCTGACCTCTCCTCGTCTCGTATTTACCATAAGACAAAATTTGACAGTCTTCTWAAGAAGATTGGAGAGTTTGGAAAATTCCAGAAAATTCARTGGTTCTTACTCTTCCTGGCCATTATACCACAGTCCTGGTATACATATGCACCAGCCTTTGCTGTTAGGAAAGTTAAGGCTGATCAGATGTCATGTGGTAATAATGGYAATATCTCAGGAAAAGCTGTTTGTGAGATATGGCATAATAAGACTTAYTGTGGGGATGTGAAATACCAAACAGACTTCACATCTGTCGCTACTGATGTAAGTATATCAGGGATATCTTTGMAACCATGCCAGGAGTTGCAGTTGTTGTTTGTCAGCTAACCTCCTCTTGCAGCTGATATAGGAAATATACGTCTTAACGAGGAGCATCTTACCAGGCAAAATTTGCAAGTAGATACCAGCAACAAATTAGGCACCGTGGAGCACAACTTTTATTGGAGGGAATAAATTGGGATGGGACTTCTTTCGAGAAGCACCAGATGAATTAGATAAATGTTTTCAAAATGGCAGCCAAATTTGTTTTTTTTGACTTTCCTCTGATTATGCCAGTTGTATTTATACAATTTAATTTTTTTCCTCAAAGTGGGACATTATCTGTGAAGATGCCAAGGCATACATACCTCTTACTAAGACCATCTTCTACGCTGGTAAACTAGTTGGTGCTTATCTCTTTGGATGGATATCTGACCGATATGGCAGGCGTGTCACACTTTTGTCTACCATGTTTATCCAGTTTTTGGCTTCATTGATTCAAAGCTTTTCTGTCAATTTCACCATGTATGTGATCTTGAGGGTTCCTCTTGGYGTGTGCAGTGGAGGTAATAAAATATGACAGGAATAATAAGGAATTAATAGTGATTGGGCGAAAACGATAGAGGGAAGGGGGGTTGGTGCCATCTGCCACGCCCATTATCACAGAACTTCCATGCTTTTTAGAGGTGACAACTTTAGTAAAATGTTATTTACAGTTAATCATTTTGTTTATCCTTGGTTGTGGTTTCCACACAATTATTCGACACTCTGGGATAATTATTTTATTTTTATTCCCAGTTGTAATTATGTCATTGTATAATACAATTAGGTCTATTGCTGGTATATTCTACTATATTCATTATCATGATCATTATTGAATGAAACTCTGTCATTCTGAATAGGGACTCTGATAGCTGCCTTTGCTCTGATGGCAGAGATGGTAGTACCAGACAAGCGCAACTGGGCCAACACCCTAGTCCAATCATCTTATGGTGTTGGTATTGCAATACAGGCCCTTCTTGCATATCTTGTYCGAGAATGGAAACCYTTCAGCCTGACCATTACCATCCCAAATGTGTTGTTTGTGCTATATTTCTGGTGAGCATCTCTTGGGTAGAGGTGTGGTCTTCCCCTTTACTTGCTAGTACCTTAATTCATAATAATGTCAAGATCACTAAACAGAAGCAGAAGTTGTTCATACTTGGCATAAGCTGCTTATGTTGCACAGGTTCACACTTGTAATCATTCAGTAATAAGTAGTTTTACAGCAGTATTACGCCAGAATTCCCCTGTTCTGCTTCTCGTGGCATAGCGTGAAACAGCCACTGCTGTTGGAAGGGTTTGAGTTGTCTTATGTCATAAATTGAGTTTGTTTCAAAAGTTGGTTTTCTCCAGGTATTTGCTGAATGAATGACTGACTTTGTGGATCAACTTTTTTTATTGGCTTTTAGTTATGTCCCTGAATCACCAAGATGGCTCGCTGCTCGTGGTAGATTTGATGAGGCAAAGAAGATCCTTTGCAAGATYGCTAAGACAAAYGGGCATGAGTGTGATGATGGTGATTTTAATCTCCTTGTTGAAAGTGAAAAGAAGAAGGAAGCTGACAACAAGAAGACATATTACCTGTGGCATCTGTTCAGCACTAGATATCTGTTCAAAATAACAGTGATTGAAGGATGGTCATGGTAGGTTTTATTTTATATTGAAAATAATTTGAGTGTTTGGACAAATATTATATTTGATGAATAATGAAATGAAAAATGGAATGAAAAATGGATGGATGGTTAAATGAAAAATGAGCAAATTAGTGTCTTCACTATATATTGTCATCARAATGAATCCTGGCCACTAGTATATATTAAGGGGATCAATGCATCCATTACAATAACATGTGTTTATGGTGAAATGACCTTTTTTTGGTGCATGTTTATTTGGAATATATTTGCTTGACGCCCAACAGGCTTGTCGTCAGTGGTGTGTATTATGGACTGAGCTTCAATTCAGGAAATCTTTCTGGGGACTTTTATCTGAACTTTGCGGCATCTGGTCTGGTTGAAATTCCAGCATACATCATAGCTGGATACCTGGTAGACAGGTATTAGAATTGTACCTCAATRATGACATTTAAAGAAATGATGCTATGATGGTATAGTCTTCAAAACACATCCGTTTTGTGTTGGGTGACATTTCATTTTTCTCAACACAAATGGCTGCTATTCTGTGCAAGGGAATTGAAAATGTTGTGCAATTAAAAACTGCTGCAATGAAGGCTCAATTCATAGTAAAATCAGATAATAATGATAATGATGATGATAACAATATTGGATACAATAGCTATGATACAGCGATGCATGTAATATTGATGTCCAAAATAATGATCTTTGATAAGTACCATCATCATGCAGGTGGTGTTCCTTGAATAGCACTTGTTCATAGTTTCGCAAAAATGTAGTACGGTACCTTATACTAATGATTGACAGCTTCATCTAGGAAATATAAACATAAGGTCCCAGTAAGCCATAGTACCATAGGACAAATACCTTGATGGGATGAAAACTATCAATAATCATTATTGATATGATTTTATACTTTTATAGGATTAATCGTCGCATACCTTTAATGGTTTATTATATTTCTGGTGGTATTGCATTGCTGTGCATCATACCGATACAAGCTTTAGGTAAGCAACTTATACTCAACCAATAAATATACACAGTTAGTGGTGTGTTAAAGTCCTCTTATTAACACACTTGACCTCATATTAAAAGAAATGCATTTTCTGAACAAAAGTGGACACACAAATGAGGCCAAAATTATTTTTTATGTATTAACTTATACCAATCAAGCCTTGGACAAGCAACAGTAGTGAGAACAACTTCACAACGTAGTGGAAACTTTAAAAGCATGAAGTAGTTGACTAATATATTATTATAGATCTAAGTGCAGCTAGACATAGTGCTATTTTGTTTATTTCTTTGTTCTCTAAGTTTAATCAGCACTCTTTGCTGTTATTTAGTGCTATTTGGTTAGAGCTTTTTTTCCAGACAGTGCATGTCTGGACTCTAACTTTCCAGAGTAAATTTATGTACTTACAGGAAAGCATGAAGAGCTCTCAGTGGTGGTGATGGTGCTTGCTTTGATTGGAAAATTTTTCATCTCTGCTGCTTATTACCAAGTGTACATCCATGCTGCTGAACTGTACCCTACTGTCATAAGGTTATTTTAACTATTTCTTCTTGTCCCATTTTAATTCCTACTTTTCTCTTTTTTTCCCTTGCTTTTATTTTTGTATTTTCCCTTCAGGTCTGCTGGTGTTGGGTTTGCTTCACTTTGCGGTCGTATTGGTGGGATGGCTGCTCCTTATGTCGCGGTAAGTTCTTAGGTATAAGATACATGGTGTGATTCAACCTCTGACTGGCCAACGTGTGTGTGTGAAGCCACAAACCATTCAGTCTGTGCAGAAGTACGTAACTTTTTCTTGTCCGCTCTTGAAGTAGATCAATGTAATATGCGCGCGCGTTGTGATTGGTTGTCTAAAAATAGATTATCGGGACATCTGATGGTGTCGATATTATAAGCGAGATGGACACTTCTGGTTATGTACTTCTGGTCTGTGTTCTGACTGAAAATCCATTCCAATCGGGTTTTTTACAGGATAGTACACCTCTTCTCGCACCAGCAATCATTTTTGGAGGCGCTTCAATGTCTGCTGGTATCATCACATTCTTTCTGCCAGAAACACGTGGTAAACCATTACCAGATCACATTGATGATGACGCGCCAACGGGCGAAGCCATAAACATTGATCCAAAAGATGAAGACAACAACACAAAGTTGTAAAAATAGAGTAGACAGGTAATTAACCCGTTTYGCTATGACGTTACGGGATGTTTCCATGGGGAACACGATCATCTCCTCTTCTAAAGAGGAGAATTTTCCGATTATGTGTGGACGACTGATTGACGCATCTGTATAGAGTTTTGTTGTCAGTCGTCTCTTCTATATTCATTAAATGCTATATTAGTGTGTTTTTCTTGGTCTTGTCGTCATTTAGCCTTTCTATGGTGACTATGATATTTTTGCAAAAAGATAGTCCAAGTAGTACCTCTCATTACTCACCTCAAAGAGCACTTTTTGCTGGTCAGGTCTAGTGTTTTTAGACTTTTTATGACGCAAAAAAAACTAATAAGTGGTGTAATTTTGTAATTTTGTAGTTGTTTCTAGGCCTAGATGACATACTTTGATGTAGTTTTTGCTATACAATGTTTTTAAAAATAATTTCATTTTTCATTTCGTATACTGTCTACTGACTTTATACACTGCTTTTCACTGCAGTTTGCGGTGTGAATTCGGACGACTTCTCAATGTAAGGTATCCGCTTGATTGTTTTCTTCAGTCTGTTAGGGCTAAAACGGAACGAGAATATATACTGAAAGGTTTGGGTGATTGGTGTAGCAGTTATTTATGAAAATGCAATGACCACAGCTTATCTCTTCGGGATCTTCGGGAACCTCCTCGGGTCTTTTCCCTTTAATAGGGGAGGAGACATGGGGAAAACTGAACAAATTCAACGCATTTTTCACTTACGCCGGAGTCGTTTCTGAGTTAACTATACTATTTAAGGTTATTTGTCAAGTTTCATTCAGGCCATTACATATAAAGCTATAGTCGAAAAAAGGGCGGAAATTCCTTACATCCTACATCCTTCCTTTCGATTTACAATATCTTTGGAACCTTTTCAAGGTCGACTTTTTCCAATTCTAAGCATTTCACAAAGATCATAAAATTGGATATWAGTTTATAGTTCAAACATGAAAAAGAGCGATTTCGTCATCGCGGGAAGAACAAACGTTAACCCCTTGCGCGCCGACATCATCATCGCGCGGTCGCAAAACGGAAGTACAAAAAAACCGGAAGTGCGGCTTGCTTAAGATGTTCGAACCTTACAATARCCAGCAATWCAGAGGTTTCGCATATATAATTCAAGACAGCTAGACAACCACAAGTATTTGAAATCTAAACATTGTAGAATTGATTTGAAGTTATTGAAGGAATAACACTAAATCATGCGTATGATGGTAAGGTTTTCAGTAATGTAATCCGATGAAGACGATGTATTTCTGTGGTATTCCGGCCCTTGGTAGATCATTTATTAAGACTGGACAACAGGTACAGACTCTGGCGTCTTTCTCATCAGGTCAGTGAAAATAAAAATAGTATATAGAGATTTTGCACACTTCAGAGTGGGTATATATTAGGCCTGAAGTAATGATATAAACTTATAGCTTGAGCCTTAYCCACATTTGAAGCGGAGATAGATACACAGGTATGGGCATATTATCATTGTATAACCATAATAATTCCCATATTGTTTATAAATACAATATGCTTAGACGAATGTACCAATAGAGATCACTATAACATTCACTAAAAAAAACCTCAATGAGTATAACAATGACTTCCAAAAATTTACAAAAATGTCAAGTTATAATGATTGCATTTACAGCACATTGATTCTATCCTCTTAAAATGCTTTTAAGCATTACTAGATTAAAAGATCATAAATGAAATGATATCTGCTCTAGCATGAAAGTGAGAATTAAGTGACAAATAATCATAGAGGCCGTGCATTTTGCGTTTAACGGGGCGTGTTCCGTGCGAGATAATGATACGGTATCTCTAGAATATCGCACGCTTTGAGTTAAAATTTAATACGTGAAATATGCGTTTCCTGACCATTGTACTTCAGTTGACATTTTGTGTTTGCTGAGCGTTGTGATTTGTCAATTTTTGTTGTCTTTGACCCTCAGGGTTTACGGAAACAATGAGTTTCAAAAGAGAATTTGGAAAGTAGATGTGAAGCTATCACTTTTAATCAAAAATTAATGGTAGATTATCGAAAAACAAAATTTGTACTGTTTCGTTATTACTAGTGACAACKGTTTTCGAACCAACGTGCGCTAAATGTTGGTATCTTTTTCTAGTGGCGTTTTCTATGCATTTATCTTATTGTCACAATTTGTTCAGCTGTTTCATGCTCGCTGTTAACGCTCGCACTAGTAAATCCCGGTTTTATTCAGWGTTACAGCAATATGAACATGTAATTTACACCTTAAATCATCCAAAATAGAATTGAAATATGAAACTATTATTTTCATTCTAAAAATAAATAATATATTATCTCCAAAATGTAATTTCAGTATACAGATAAACTAAGTAGAGTATTATGTGGATTAAATCAAGTTCCTTCTCATGCTTAATGCAAAATTTACAAACTTATTGTTATATTTCACGTAGTMCACCGTGGTGACCGTGCAATATCATTTATAATTGACGATGCGAGTGATTGATGCACCATAAATAGTATTCTAATCGCGCACGTCGTGTTTAGAAGATTAATCATAAAATGTTTTTAAAAATATAACGAGAATTTATCATCATTGTGAGCCGATTCAGTATTTAATCATCTGAATCAAAAGATCATAATCGTAGCGTAATATATCAGTAAAATATCATAACAAATTGTAACGTAACAAAGCGTAACGTAAGAAATCGTRACGTAACTCTCACATTTATGTGATAAAAAATGGAAAAAGACGAAATRAAATACCAAACCAATGCATAACACTCATACAAAACACACAAAGAAGTAATATCTTTCATTGTCAGTGACAGCAATCATCCTGTAATGATTGGAACTTCCTCAAAACTGAATCGAGAATGGTCGGTTATGAAATGACAAAGTAGCGCATATATAATTTGTCACGATATTGCGGAAGGAACGTACTCTCACGTACGCCTTCGTTACTCGTCATTAGTTCATATATCCGCATCTTGTAACATTAGATAATATGATCAATTTTTAGCAGATATGATAGAGAGAAGTGAAAAAATTGCGGACTTGGGAAAAGATTTATGCTCAAATTAAGGAGAGATTTTGCCATAGAGTTAGTTTCTTCTGACTCCTAGGACAAGGATTCGGGCACGCCTTACTCTCGCCTTCGCGCTCGACTTTCAAACACGTCCTGTCCGTCCTTCCGGGGGGTACGCTTAGTTGTGAACACAAAGAGAACAATGCTTTTGAAACAAGGTTTCGTTTCCTTACTGACGTCTTTATATTTTCACTTTCTTAAAATACTGAATCCGTGACATCCGCGTCAGCCATGCTGGCCTCGTTSTCSTGTGTGACGTCGCCATCTTATTATAATATTTTGCAATTGAGAAGTCAGTAATGTTACATTATCTTTAGAAAGCACTATCCCATTTCTACGCCTCAAGGTATATAGTTTTATAAACAAAGYTGTCAATCGTCGATGGATTGYTCACGCCGGCCAACGTTTTTCTACCTGACTGTGSCGAAAACCCCGCTTGCAGGTAATTAAGGTTACAAGTCAATCGCGCAAAGAGGCGCGTCAGTCTTTACTTCAACAGTATTCATTTTTCCTCTCAGGTAAACACGCAATGATTAATTTACCTAGGAAAGTTTGCAAAAGAGTAGCAGTAATGACCTATGCCCCATTTTGGGTGCTCTTATCGCGATTTCATTTCGATTAAAGAAGTGTGGAGTTAYATCGGTTGACAGAAGTCATTAGATTTGAACTTTGCTATAAGTTCTAATGAAAAATGGCTGAATTATACTATCAATTACAAAGTAAATAGTCTGACTAATAAGTATAATTCAACGTTTATGWGCACCATACATCTGATACATCGAACTTGAGTTAATTAAAGTAATTTTTACATGACCATATACAAGGGTCAAGATATTCTGAGACTGTGGTTTTGGGTAGTTGAAATTTTTAGAATAATTTAGGGATTTTGTAGAATAGTATCATAGAGCAGCTTTGTTTTTCGAAAATCTGAGACAGGACATAGASTATAGGTGGATCAGTGGTTTGTTRTTTTAAAAACTGAAACAAKTGTGAAYCTTTCGGTTATGAGTGTGTGAGATACAGGTATCAAAWTGGCGAACCTCRCAGAAAYAGSATGGAACCACCTTAAATGAGCTGTGCAGTAAAAACATTTTTCAGTATATTATAATGTTTAGCTATACTAAAACGCTAATTTATTACTGATTTTTATTGCTCTGCAACTGATATCCGAATAATAATCCATATTCTTATATATGACGTCATTAGATGATGATGATGATGAAAATATTGAGCAAGTCATAAATTCCGTTATATTAAAAAACGTGACCAATTTACGATTGAATCACCCTATATCATACATTTATCATACATTACAAATTCCTTATATTTACGTGGACAATAATTAAYAACTAATATTATACTCAGGGCGGAAGCTTGCGTGGGTTGCGGGCGGAAACACGCAGGTACGCAAGCACTCACCTCTCGAAAAAAGTTTTCGGATGCGTAACTAATTTTTTCTCATAATGTTATTATTAATATTATTATTAATGTTATCTCATAATTGTAAATATTAGCACAGCTAAGGATAAGAATATTAAGTGTATATTAAATAAAAGCAAATAAATTTTGAATAAACGAAATTTGYAGATCATTCCGAAAAGCCTATTGTTTCGTGGACCAATAGGAAACGAGATAGTCGTCAGTTCCCGGATGTCAACAAAGTCAGACGGAAACGGGCGAAAGTGCAGTTTCTGTTAGAGATAATCTAGCGAATTGTTTCAAATGTAGCCTTGGAATTTAGCTTATAAATCGTTTGTTTGAAGCCATGACTGAGGTAGGAGAAGACGATAAAATTACAGTCTCAAAAGGTGAGGTTTTGGTTGAATTTTAACCGATATAGTTTGTAATTTCTTTGATTATATTCGGTGTCATTTTATGCTTGAGCAGCAGCGAATATCTCGTTGACTTGAGTACTAAGGACGCTGTTGTAGCAGCATTAAAGATATTACTTTGGTAYCTTTGAATGCTTTGCTTTTGTAGATTTTTTCTGTTGAGTGCTTGGATTAAGGAACGAGGCCACAACTGTTTTAGCTTCGATCGTGAAATATCCTCGTGCTCAACAGCTGAAAATTGGCTTCAAACTTTAACCCAATACAGTTCTCATAACTGTTATTAACACAAGAAATCTTTCAAGAAAGTGGTCTTTGCTTATTTGCAWCGAAATACGTTTGATTTATTTGGTTTTTACGTTTTAAAGCAGGTTGGTTTTTGATACGAAGAAAATATTAAAACTACGATGAAGGATTTTAATTTCTTGTAAGATAAAGTGTGCAAATTTTATAAAAATTTCCCTCATATCATATAAGTTCATATTATTTGCCTTATATTTTCTTTCATAACAGTAATTTCATATCATTACTTCAATTAGATAAACTTTTGAAAGTATTTAAACTACAAGTCTCGAAAAAAAACTTCATTAATCTCTCAACCTTTTCATAAAGTCTTGATTGCTAGAAAACGTTATATGCCATGACATTTGGTGATATTTTGGGTGTCAATGTCTGGTGCCAAAATTACTGCCCTTTCGTCTTATCCTAGCAGGATTATTGGCTTGTATCCATGAGATAAAACCACAAATTTGTCCCTTGAAGGAATGCAAGAGAGCTTTATGAAMGTTTTGCGCCCTAATGTTGAATTTGATCGATAAGTTTATGTCTTGTAAATCGCATGCAAATCAGCTGAATGTATCTGAGTTCAACGTCAGGGGTCCAGGTTCAATTTTGATTATTTATAGCTGTGAAGATTTCTTTGCAAAGAACAAAGATCCTCATWAATTTGATACCAGGTCGATCTTAATATTTAAAAGTGGATCTTTACAACAAGCTAGATAACATGTTTACAAAACACTGGTTTTAGAAGCTTGAAACAGCTGTGAAAAAAAACAAGGGCATCTTTTAACAATAATCAGAAATAACTTGTACATTTGTATCATCTTAAAAGTTTGCAAATTATCTGATCTGTTTACATATTACAATGCAGCCATGGTCATGAATATGCATGAATAACTGTCARTGACAACAGTTACATACATTGGTTGATAATTATTGGATATTATTAAGCAATATTAGTATCATTATATATACCAAGACCAAAATCTTGATAATTGTGTTATGACGTTTTCATTTACATATTTTTCTTGACTTAGTGAAGATACAGTTTATTAATTTCTCTAACAAAATAGGTGCTAGTTTCTGGGTGAGATCTCATRCTAACCAGTATAGGTATTTTTATGAGTTCTCTACTCCCATTTTTCCGATTTATCTTCTCTACTCTGCTAAACTCAAATAACTACTCTATTAAGTTAACCATACTATCTTCTTATTCTATAAACTTTGCTATATTTCCTATCCTAACCTACTTAAAACAGCAATTTATGTAGTGATGAAGTTTTATATTGTATTGTAATATTGGTCTTTTAATGACATGTGCCRTTATCGCTCATAACACTTCATTTCACTTTAAAAAAGTTTCCCTTTAAGGACTCATATAATATGGGCAATTATTATCATTAATTTTGGCTACTTAAGCTTTTGCATTTTCTTAATCATTATGTTAATATTTTTAAGTTTGTTTAAACAAAAATCAAAAGATTGAGTTAACATTCAATTGATATGCTTCACCATGTGCTTTGATCATTAGGATAATTATCCATTGTGGTTATTCACTTGTTCTCAAGATAATTCACACTATACCTATTTCTCCTAGAAGCTTTCCCAGTAATAATTCAGCTTTTACATTTATTTTATGAGAATAATACTGTTAACTTAAGAAATTTTCTGTTTTACAAATTGTTTCATACAGTTTTTTCATTTCCTTTCTAATTTAAGACATCATTTTTTTTCTAAAAAGTTCTTGCAATTGAATGAAATGAAATGTTATTCTCTGCCAAAAATATGTGATATTTAGAAAAAACATTATTAAACAAAATGAATTAAAACTTTCTTTTTTCTTTTCATTCATTTTTTCTTATATCTTTTCAAAAGCCACAATGATAGGAGAGACAAGCTAATTCTGTTTTATTATAATCTTATTGTTGTTTGTGTTCAAATAAACAACTATTATTGGCCAAGCACCATATCAGTATAACAATCTCTACTRACCAAGTGATATGTGCTTAATACCTTACAAAATAAAAGTGTTATGCCTTATTTAATGCTTAGTAAGATGATAAAAGATAACCTGAAACTCAATGTTTATAACTGTAAAGACCCATATCTAAAGCAAAGTTATAGATAACACAATGTTGTGTCTTGTAAAATGACTCTAATTGATGACTCGGTGTTTACCCTAAAGGGATATTATAACATCATTTTTGTATATACTCCAATAAACACTCCTTTGTTCAACAAGGTATTGTATCAGATTGTAGCAAYCYATRCAAGCAAATTGGCATCCAGCTAATGTTTTCCATGTGCTTTTTTTGCCACCTGTTAACCTAGGCTTCTTATGAAGATAATGCTCTCATTAACTACCAGTAACTAACTCGTGTTACGATATACCATAAGGTGCTATACTTYTTATAATTCACCCTTAAAGAATATACAGCAGACATTGATAACTATGGAAAGGAACTATATTTGTGTTGTAATCTTCAATTATTTTCATCTCCTGATGTACATAATTCCTTGAATAAATTAGCATACATTATCACTCTTAAACAGCTTCTGTCATCAATAGACCTGAGCTCAAAGCTTCTTTATTGTTTGCTCCAAGCAACACATTGTCTGTTGAGTAAGTTAAGATAATTTCAAGCTTAAGAGTCAATTCAGAAAGACTTCATCTTSAAAATACAGTCRTAGTGTTGTGAAGTGAAAATGCAAGCACATCTAGTTAGACAGAGAGTTCTTCCACACTCAAATGCCACTGTTTTTTATGGTAAGAAAAACATCTTGTATTTTAACATCGAGTTCTCCTTTGTTTTAGCCAGACAACTATGTTTTGAAATAACTGGTATTGTATTTATATTAAGCACAAAAGGAAACAAGTCTTTTTCATGAATTTACTGTCTCAAAAACAGAGTTTTTGTTGACATGAACTCAAGAGGCGTATCTTCCCATGTGCTTATAGTGTCATGCAATGCAAATTCGTTTACTTGGAAAAACATCTTTTCTATTTTGCAATAGAAATGTGCAAAGGAGTAATGATATTACATGRAGTTCAATTTCAGTCAGTGTTGGGAATAACTTAGAAGTCTTTTACTTATTATGTTATTTGGTCTGAATTTTTCTATTTTACACCTTTCTTTCCACAATGTGTTTGCTGTTATGGATTTTGTAAATTTGTACACATTTCCATGAAATGTTTTTATGATAATTATAGTTGTACTGCTAAATAATAATGATGATCTTCCAGTATAAACTTTATTTTTACTGGAATGTGCTTTATTTGCATAGTGCCAGGTGCCTTAAGAATATAAAACACATGTAAAATTAGAGAAAAATACAGAGCATATTTAATTGTGAAGTTTCATTTAGAAGATTATTAGAAATTTTAACATTGATTATTTTTTGTTATATGCTACGTAATATGTAATTATTATGTTACTAACTAAATATTTATTAATTCGTTTGTGTTTCTCACGATTGAAATTATGAATACAAAATGTCTGCTTCAGTACATGATAGAGTAGAGTACTGCATTATCTATCATATCAGTCAAAGTTTCACATTTCTATTTAAAAATTGCTTTGAATTGCACCACATTTAATACACAGTAGAAAGAAAGGATTTTTTAGTAATTTGMACAATCTTGTAACTGTTTCCTAATATAATGAATACAATCTAACAAATGCATTCAGCCTCATTAAAAATTCAGTCACATATACGCCATGACATCATAGTTTAAGTATGTCACTAACCACATTTTATTTTGTGGTCAATTTTCTTAATCTTATATTTATTTTACCTTTTTTTATTATTCTCTTTAGTTTGTCAAGATTTTAGAGTGAGGGAAGATGGAGTACTGGCCAGCAAGCTCCAGGAAGAAGAATGTAAGTATACAAACATTAAAAAAATTGCACTTGTTTGCATCGAAGTACTAATAAACCCTTCTYGACCATTGTACATCACATGAAAGCTTTCTTTGAATTTATTGTCATTTAGACAGTTAGTTATWATTTATTCATATTATTGCTTTGTGTAGAAAAATAGTATTCTCGCAATTCACAGATCTTATATTAATTTTGTTTAGTTTATGAATATTTATGTCCAAGGTTTTTTTTTTCAAAAATTATTGATATCTCACAAGTAGTGCAGAAGATAAATGTCAAATCTCCAAGCATCTATGTAATATTTCGTTTATTTTATGAAAATTGAAATATCAAAGTTTTCATTTTTAGATGTATCCATGGTAACATGATTAGTTTTTAATTCTTTAACTGTAATAATTTGCTACACCAACCCACCCAACCCACATAAGATTTTTGCACCAATCTACTATATTACATTTAAAGTCAATATTAGCATGAAGTGGCTCTAAAATTAGATTTTTCCATCATTATACAGTCATGTTTTATGTTAATCGACCAAGCCATGATCTCATTGACAAAAAATGTAATAAATCTTAGAAAAATATGAATTACCTCATATTTATGTATGCTCTGCATTTAGTATTTTAACTATAACTGCAGTAGCATCAGTTGGTGTTTATGTACAATCCTCACAAAAGGAGTGTTTTGTTGGTTTACAATGTCGAGATTCTTGTTACTGGCGAAACTAAAGGGAATTCTCAAAAGTATACAATAATATTCTCTTTGTTTGTTGATTTTTTCTTTTAAATTTTATACTTTTCTTTATCACTTTTTCATTGCCTCTATTCATTCATTTATTTTGTACTCCTTTTTTCCATTTCTTTTCTTCTTTTCCCTTCCATTTTTTCTCTCCCACCTTCTAGTGTTACATACTGGTGTTAAATTATCCCCAAGATTTCTAAATGAATTTGTTTTTATTTCAGTTCAAAAACACTACTTCAGGAATAAAAGCGAAAGGAAGACAGTTCGAGGAGATGTTCGAGTAGCCAAACAAACTTATTTAGAGGAAGTAAAAACAGCTCAACTTCTTCCAGAACATGAACTTGAAGAACTCTCAATGTAAGAAATTTGCTTGCTTTATTGAAATTTAAATTGATATTATAATTCTGCTGTTTTCTTTGTGTGTATCATATTGAGCATTATTTTAAATTCTTGATATTTCAATATTATAAGGGAAGAGACAGACAAATGGCTGGCAAGAGATCTTCAGGAAAAGCTGCATGATGAGGTTGGATGTTTATTTTCATTTTATTATTAGTTTTATTATAATGTTTTTTTTTTATTATTATTTTTTGCCATTGCCATTGTTTCCTGTTGTTATTATTGCTATTTTACCTTTTTTTTTACTAATTTGTTATTCTCTGTTAAACAGGAAAGAAGAGAAATAGAAAGACAAAAGAGATTGGCATTAAAAGATGCAGTAAGCAAAAAATAGCTACATGTTTTATTATTGTTATAAAGTAACTATTATGCAGTTAATTTTTATGTAAATTATGGAATTTAGATGTTTAGTAATGAAAAACAATATTGTAAAAATGACTCAAGATTTAACTACAATGTATCAACAGAAAGTTGCCAAGAGTTTCCAGGAACGTGAAAAGGAGAAGTTTGACAGAGAATGGAGAAGAAAAAGAGAGGAGGAAACATTAGGGAGAGAACAGCAAGAACAAGAACAAAGAAGAATAGAAGAAGAGGAAATTGATGAACAGAGAGCTCGTGAAATGAGAGATGCAGTAAGTCTTACAGTTCCTTTGTCGGAAGTAGGTCAGCAAGCCAATTGTCTCACGTAATATAAATTGTTTTTTTTTTTAATAGAGAATGGCAAGAGAACTTCAAGAGCGAGAGCGCGAGGAGTACGAAAGAGAACGTGAAAGATATAGACGTGAAAGAGAAAGACACAGATATGAACGAGAGAAAAGAAGAGAAAGGGAAATAGAAAGAATGGATGGAAATGAAGTGGATAGSCAAAAAGAACTGGAAATGCGGGATGCTGTAAGTATTGTTGGACATGTAAAAGTAGCCAACACCTATTCAGTCGGCCATTCTTTTACGTTTCTTTTACGTTTTTTTTTATTTTATTTCTTTTTTTTTTCTATTTTTTTCATCCATTTTGGATACAATCATTCACCAAAATGTATTCTCATTCACATACGTGCATTGCATGGATACAGACATTCACACAATTTCTTGTTKTCTATTCTTTCAATAAAGTATTGTTTTATTGAAAATTCAATTAGAGAATCGCAAGAGATCTYCAAGAACGAGAAAAACAGAAGTTTGACAGAGAGTGGCAAAGACGCAGAGAACAAGAGATGCTCGAAGAACAGGAAAGACGGCACTATCAAAGAAGTGCATCCGATCCGAACGGTAACTAAACGTTTTATAAGTACAAGTTTACTTAAATATCTCCTCTATTAAGTTAGTTTAGGTTGTGATTTAATGAGTTGAGCTTAGCTTTTCGTTCAAGATCTTTTAATATTGCAGCTATTTACGGGTCTCATTGATCTWGGAGTTAAGATTGAAACACTGCCAATAGCAAATTAAATTTGTACTTTACACTAAAAATTAATGCTTAAATTTAAATAGTATTATTGATTGTGTACTTACCCTTCTTTTTGGGTGTTGATTCGACCAAATATGAAAGAAAAATGCCGCATTTTTGCCAAGAAAAGTTGTAGTGCCTTTGGAAGTACCTGAATGAATGTGCAAACGCGCGCGCTATAAATCTAACCAAAAGTGGCGGGAAAATGTGCGCGCGCGTTATTTTTGGTTGGTTACGCGCCAAATTTGAGGTCAGCGTTCAGGTTCGAATAATTCAGTCTTCTATATATGTATTTTCGAACTTTAATTGATAGCTATTACGATTTCTATGGCATTGCGSTGAATTTCTTCTTTATAAGCTCATTACTTTTGCTTTTATATACGTAGATTCGAGAAGAGCAACATCTAGGCCCCAAGCAGAAGCCATCAATGGCCACGCCGACCCAGTCATCCATCGACAGAAGCGGTCAGGTAGCGGAAGAGATGAAAGAAGAGAAAAGAGAAAGAGCACTGGCAGTAATAGTAGTGGTGGTAGCGTGGGAAAAGAAGAGAGAAGACCAAARGAAGAACGTAGACCACTTCGAGAAGAACCGTCGCCGAGAGCTGAACGAAGGTCACCAAGAGATGAACGGAGGCCTACGAGAGGGGAACGAACTCAACCGAGAGAGGAACAAAGACCGCCGAGAGACGAACGAACGGCATCGAGAGAAATGCGAAGGCCTCCAAAAGATGAACGAAGCCCGCCCAGAGAGGAACGAAGCTACGAACATGGAGAAGGCGCTGTAGTTGCTCTTCCTCCAGCGGAAAACGGTGGACGATTAGAACATGATCGAATCATCATGGCTGATGGGACAGCAATTCATTTGTTTGATGACGAAGAAGAAAAACAGAAAGCYATTGCAGAGGAAAAGCAGAAGGCGCTTGAACGGGAGAGAAGGAAAGCTCATGAGAGAGAAAGGCAAAAGGCTCTCGAAAAGGAGAAGCAAAAAGCRCTTGAACTAGAAAAAGTCAAAAAAGACGAGGTGAATGATGATTACAATATWATTTTTTTCTTTTTCCTCGGAAAGCTTTTTTCTGTCTAGTGGTTGACATATTTTTTGTTTTAATTTTCTAGGAATATGCAAGAATGCTTCAAGAYCAGGAAAGAAGGGTAAGTTGACAAACTATCGTTGTCATCATCATTGCCAGTTTGTGTTGGTTGCATCATGTATCATTGTAATCATTCTATCGTATGCAATGTCATCTCCATCATATTTGCCATTTCAAACGTTGTCAAGTATCATTATCGCCTGCATTCAAACATCACAYATCAATTTAATGGGAYATTTTTCTTGTTTTAGATCGTTGAAGCAGAAAGAACAGCCGCCGAAGATAGACGACTAGCAATGGAAGAACAGGATCGGGTAAGTTCTAATTCGCGCACATAGGCTATTACCATGAGCTCTAAACATTTATGTTACCCTGTCATACTTCCTTGCTGAACCTACTAGTGTTTTTCTTAGGAGTTGGCTAGACACTTGCAGCGTCAAGAATACCAAAGAATGCAGCAAGAAAAGAAAGAGAGACAGATGAGGAGAGCCAACAGCCTACCCTCCGACAGACACTCAGTCAATCTTGAGGTAGGGTGTAGCGATTTAGAGTACAATTATGATTCTTTTATTAACGTGCTGTGATTGTACAGAATTAATTCTTTCTGCTCATCATTGCATTTGGCAAATTTGAGATTCGATGTTTTTAACGGTAGTTTTACTAATGTCTGCCATTTCAAAATGTTTAGTTTAAAAACAACGCGATATGAAAGAGTAATATATTTGAATGTTACAGGACCCTCGACGACTGCCCTCGTACGAGGAAGCACTCCACCGACGCCAGCTGCCTGATCTGCTACCAGGCAATGATCCCACAACAACTAGTTATGCCCTTGTCTCYACTACTTCCTCAGATGGTCGTGGCTCCTCGCTAGAACGAGAGACCAACATCCAAGTAGAGAGAGARAAGTATGCAGCTCAAGAACATGACAGATCACTAAGACAACACTTAAGATCACGTGGTCCTGAAGGATCAGAACATCTGGTGACTGCAGTTGATTATAGTTTGTCTATGAGAGAACCAGAGGGATTCCTGAAGGAAGAAAGAGAAAGCAGACGTGRTATTGATACGGAAGAAAGATGTAAACCAATTGAACGAGAGTATAAAAATGATGAAATTGAAGGTAAACAGTCTCCCAAGGACCAGCGATACACTAGAGATGCCACAGAGATCAGAAATCCACCTAGTGAAGACAGACACCCAGCTAGTGAAGACAGACACCCACCTAGTGAAGACAGATACCCAGCTAGTGAAGACAGACACTCATCTATGGAAGAAAGACACCCACCAAAAGATGATGACAACAGGCGGTCGTTCCCAATCATAACTGACTTTGAGAATCCTGAGCATGAAGATAGCGACGATGAAGGACAAACGAACCTCGACCAAGCAATATGGCAGACGAGGGAACCAGTTTCACATTCTCCACAAACTTCTTTAGAAAGAAACAAAGACGACACTGAACACAAGTTGTCTGCGCGATCATCGTACGCATCCTCAGGTGGAAATTCTTTCGATAGGCGATCGGTTAAAAGCGGAACTCCGCCGACGCGCGAAGATGTATGGGAACGATTTGATGATGATGAAGAATTCTACAATGCTACTGGTCGGATGAGTCGACAAATGTTCCGAAGTCAAACTGTCGCGAGCGCTTACCCGACGAACCACGAAAGCGAACGCCATATGATGTATAACGTAGTCGAGGGCATAGATCCTACTTTCCGGCGACAACGAAAGRATTCCGAAGATGACCCGAAGGAAAACAGTACCGAAGAGAGGGCAAAAGTCATTCAACTTATTAAACCACAAAGACGCCGCAGTACCGATAAAAAGAAGTCCAAGGATAGAAAGAAATAAGAAAACATGACAAAAGCCTGAAAAAAGAAGAAAAGTGAAATGAGAAGAAAAGCAAAAAATYGAAAAGGAGTGAGAAAACACCAAAAACAAGAAGTTGATGCAAAAAAATCTAAATTTGCGATTGTAAAAAATTGAAATACATTATTGTAGAATACTTGAAGTTGTTTATCAAGTGGAATTCATGTCAATATTTCAATCATACCATTCCAGACCTGATACTGTCAAAAATAATTGMAAACTATTCTAATTCAAAAGAAAGTCATGAGTAGCTTAGATCAATTTCAAAACTAAAAATAATAAATCTACAAAATATTAGATATTTTAATCTGTTTGGATGAAGGTAGTAGATTGCTCCTTTTTTAACCCAAATGTACATTTTAGGATTTTCAAATTATGATATTATTGACAAACATCGTCAAGCATAATCAAAAACTAATTTCTTATTCAGCTTTCAATGATTCATGARAATTCAAATTTCAATCAGTTCATCAGTTTTTTGATTTTAGATGCTGTTTGRATAAATAAAATACCATTTTGTGAGTTGTAAAATTGCAATTTCAACATTCTTGAAGTAGAATGTTTTTCTAGGCACRAGGTGAAATGTTTTAGCTTTAAAATGCTTGTAAAAATAGTGCAATTYAATAAATGCCAAAAAACTGAATGTTATCATGTTTGTAAGTGGTTTTASATGCTGTAGACAAGTGATTGTTGTACGATATTCCCCAMCAAAGCTCCCTATGSCATATCAAAAGGTACCTTAACATTGCAGCAARATGACAAATGAGCTTTAATGATACCAATAAATAMATGTTGTCCATAGAGGCGAGAGGTATTTATCAATGCCAGCTCACTGCTAGTCTGGCTCTGAAGCAGGTTGCCTTTCAAGATGGCACAGGTGATTATTAATAWATCAAAAAGAAAACACATACATTTRATAATATTAATWATTAATWAATATTGATGAACACAGAAGTGACTGCCATTTGAAAAAAGTTGAGTTTATTCCTTATTAGCTTAAATAAAATTAAAATTTACATGTCTCAAGCAATTTGATGGACACATATGACTGTTCAGTACCTCTGGCAATCAACTTCGGCCTTTTCTGAGATAAGTTTGCATTGCACTAGATTGAGTACAAACATYTTYKTTTATGCTACCAAATATGGCATCTAGACCACAATGCACCATGGTTCTGTATTTCAAAAAARGKYYTTKG